GTGAGTGTGGTGAATCCAGGGTTTGAATGGTGTTCTGCCTGACCCAAAGTCCATGCTCATCCCACTGCACCGCCTCTTTCAGTTAAAGAACATTTTGTGACAAACCCCTCAGAGGTCATATAGGATGGACTTACTCTTTTTTTGCTTCGTCTAGCTTGTCCTTGGCCCTTTTATCTGCCTGAAAGAGCTGGTGGATCCCCTGAGACTGGCTGGTCATGGCGGCCTGCTCCAAGCCAGATGGCCTTTATGAAATCTGGGAAGTGAAGGCTCCATTTATCCTGTTAAAAATCACCACATAACTCAGATTGTTGTGTCAACACTGAATTCCAGACATAGCTATTTGCTCCAAACTGAAGATTGGGCCAGATAGCTGGGCCCCAAGAAAAGCCTAAGGGTGGAATCCAGAAAAACAGGTTATGTTAGTATAAGGCAGCTAAAAACTTAGCATTTTAACCAACCTCAGTTCTTGCGTATGAAGTAAAGAGCCTTTAATGGGTTGTTGACTCCACTTATAAAGAAATGAGTAAAATGTCTTCTGGAAGATCAGCTTGCCTATTTTTCCAAGAAATGTTGACTCGTTTACTGAATTTTTCTTTTAATTTACAAGATCTTTCTTTGTTCTCCGTGCAGTACTAGTTTCAGGTCTTTTTCTTTAGGTGTTTCTAGTGATTCAATGATTTGCTTGATTTGAACTTACGTTTCGCTGGGAAGGAGATTCCCTGTCTTTGCACATTAAAAATGGACAAGGGATCCATGTCTTTCTCTTCCCCGGCCTCAGGTGACAGGAATGAAAAAATCCTTTTGAACATGTGTTGCTCTCTAATAGCGCTTTATGCTAGAGTTCCAGGAAGTGCAAAGTTAAGGGAAATTAAAACTGTAGATTTTGAAGTTAAATTAAAATAATTTATTCTTGCCTTTTATGTTACTCAATACTTGTGCTGGGTATTATCCTAAAATAGTACAGTGAAAGGCATCTTAGTCGGTTCAATTTAATCCAGTAGGAATTAGGCAAATGAGAGTGCTGCTCACAGTGGAGAATTATAAAATATCTTTATATGTATCCGAAATTTTTACTTGAAATGAAAAGCTAATCTTTCGACTTGTGGCCAAGGCATTTTTCCTCTGAAATGATTTGCAGATTGGCATTTTCCATATTATTGCCTTCATAAGCTACACCTTCTTTGCCTCATCTGCCAATATCAAGTTCAATTTCTTTAAATTAAGTGTGTGGATTTAAAGACAATTGTAAAACAATCTTAGAGCTAAGTCTTTTATGATTTTAGTGAGTTGCCCCTTAATCTTTTATAGTTGTCTTATCCATACATATATAACATTACTCTCCAAAAGGAACAGCTTTTTTTCCCCAGCACAGGAATACGTTTCTTTGTTGTTGCACTCATATTGAATCAGTTTATGACATATTTAATTTTTATTGCAGAATACAATAATTAGTACAACGGAAACGAGCAAATTGGTGAACAAACATGGCTCTCGGCAAACATACGTTCCAACCTTAAGAACAGAGTATGAAGCAAACTAGAGGGTAGCTCCTGAGCCTCAACGTCACCCTGTCT